TACACTTCATCTCATTCTGAATAGTAGAATTGTAAAAAAAACTGATGAAATCAAACTTGATATATGTTTTCGCGGTGTAATTTTGTTGTCTGTATAACTGGTTTATAAAAAGCAAAATTGGCTTTCTCGATAACCCCCGAACCAGACACCAGGGCTTTATGGTAAGCTCTCTAGTTAAACTAATGATTGAGTGAATCTTTAAGATGGCACCATCAAGTGTATTGTAAACATCAATATATTAAAGATGTTCTTTATCAGTTTGGCTCCCAGTTTCGTAACAAATTGGTTCTTTAGTTCGTCTAGTGATTGTCTCCATGTTATTGGTTGTTAAGAATCGTGTTAAGTTCGTAAACAGTCAGGATAGGTCTATTCTATTTGTACCGAGCTCAATCTTCTGTTTTGTTAAGTCGTGCGTTACTCGATTAAAAGGTTGTTGACATCGGTTCGTTCTAAGTTGCTCAGTCACTGAAAGTAGTTAGTACTGTAGGTAACCGCGCGATGGTGTTGGTCTCGTTAGGTTCAGTAGTTCCGCAAGTGTTTCATTTAACGAAGTCGCCGTTGTAGTTGTTCTTGTTAAAACACATTCAAGGTATCTGTTTTCTTCACATAAGCTGTCCGGTGTGTGCTCGTCAAAGTGTCAATTGTCGTACCTCTGTGTGAAGTAGGCGAGTCTAGTTATCTGTTTGTTTTCTGTATACCGTCGTTCGTAGTTTGTTGTTGTCACGGCTTACCACTTAGATCCATTTTCTGTATGTCGGTACTGTCTTGTTCGTTGAGGTGTTCGTGAAAGGCGAAATGTGTCGTGAACGTAACGTAACCAAAGCGGTATTGTTTGACCCCCAAAAGTAAAACTTCCTCTTTGACCAAAATGGCTCAATTATTTTGACAAACATCAAGGTTTGTATTTGAACTGGACGAATTTGTTTTTTTCACTTAGTCAGTTTGTCTTTTTCCGAGCTCTCGTTCGTCTTGCAGTGCCACCTTAAAAATATCACTTCCCTGCATGCGACATCAGCTATTAAAATTGTAACCGTAGTACAGAATGTTTTGCAAACATAAAATAAAACACCTTGTGCGATCCGTGGCACGGAACCAAAACATTGTTTTTGCTTTTGTGCTAGGCAAGGTTCAATGAACTGCGAATTATGTTACGTCAATTTTTTCCGAGATAAAGGAGAAATTATACGATTGATCAAGGTGTGCAAAACATTCTGTGCCAAAAATGTGGCTGATATTAAAGTACAGTACTTTTAAAGTTATTTGTGTCAATTTCCAAGTCATAGATGACTCGATACAGCTAGACAATCAATAAAGAACTCATTTTTAAAGTTCTTTGTATCAATTTCCAAGTCCCAGATGACTCGATACAGCTAGACAATCAATAAATCCCATCTGTGGATAAAACCAAGAGTGACATCCTTTTACAAATTACACAAGTCCTAATTTAGTCAGCCACCATTTTTGCTACAGTTATTTAACAATCTCAAAGTTCTTATCTTTGCAGTACTATAGTCCTCTTGATTCAGTGATTCCAGTTTGTCCTCTTGGCCAGATTCTTTACTCTTCTTGCCATCTGACAATGGTAGTTTTCTGAAGATAGAAATTGTGTGATCAGAAAATGATCTTACCTTTAAAAACTATACAAAGGCTTAAAAATATCCAACACGAGTGGCAACGCGCGCGCAAATAATTACGCTTCGATCGTTTAATATTTCAGTATTGCAGCGTTTGACTACTAAACAGTCTTAAATTTCACTTAAAATTTTACACAGCATTAATTCACGCCATAAACTCTTCCCTCAAGTCCTTCAAGGCCACCCTCTCTTGCTATATTGGAAACGAAACAAGAGATACTGCTTTTCTATCGAGTTTCAAGTCAAAGCGACGCTCAAACCGAACAACAAGCGCACGTGTTTACTCCTTCGCTAACATTTTGATACCTTTTTAAAATTTCTGAACAAAATTAAAGTTGTAATATTTTCCAAAAGCAATGCTCACCTTCGCTTGGAATATCGTAAAGACGCCTATCCCAGCTTTGAACATCAAGTTCTTCTTCCTTCAAGAGTACAAAGTAGCGCATGTGTTAATAATTCACTTCGCAAACATTTCGATACCATTTTAGCTTTCTGGACAAAAATAAGGAAATATTTTCCAAGCACAATGCTCACCTTCGGTTGGAATAGTGTATTAAAAGACATCTTTCCTAGCTTTGCACCTCGAGCATCTTCTCAATAATTCTTCCTTCAAAAGTACAAACTTGTCTTCAGCAGGACGACACGTCTTCACACATCAACGACCAGCGTGGTTTGCTGAAATTTTACAAGTTTTCATGAATATGGATTAGACACTGAACCCAATCGCTGACAAATACGTCATACATTTGTCACGAATTTTGTTCGCACGCTTTTTCAGCCAGCGAATCAAGAATCGTGAAAAAGGACGCCACCGCGTTATTTGTGAGTCATAAATTCAGTTTTTTTGTTCTTTCTAAAGTTCGCATGTTTTTGAGAAGAAAAACAAAAACAAACTGTGGTTAAAAATATAGAAGTATAACTTTTTGGGTGGGTGGCTATTTTTTTTTTATCTTCTTGAAGAAATAGGGGGGGGGGGGGGGGCGGGGGAGGTGAAATTCTGAAACCACAACCTAATAACGTATCTAATAGTAATAATAATAATAATTATTATTATTAAACCTTTTAAAAATAGATAGCCACAAACATTTTGAAAACAAATAAAAACATTTACCTTACTCTTACTAATTTTCGCGATTGAAAAAAAATCGCGAAATTAAATACTCGCGAAAAAAAGGTGCCGCGAAAATTATAAAGTTTACGCAAAATTTAATAACCAATTGCACATTGAAAATTGACACTGTAATTTGGTAAAATACAAAGGGTAAACATTGTCACAATTCTGTCCGTGATTTATGCATCTCTACATTCCTCCTCTGATTCGTCGTTTTCTTGCAATTCCTGCAAACTGTACCTATTTCATCATTCGTGTTTATCTTCGATTTTAATGTATAGTTCAATTTCATTAGATGTCTTACTCGGTATTTTACACGTTCACGTTTAAACAAGTCTCTCGAACTCATCCGTGATATGTGGATAAATAAATTACTACTGCTACTATTGGTGCAGTCGTCAATATTGCCATTCACAGTACTGATTTTCCTTCAATTCATCAATTGAACTTGTGATTATGAATAACAGATTTTTTAAATGGTGATAAAAAATTGGTGATATTTTCCCAAGTTCATTTTCTCCAAGAAATCGCAAAAAATTCATCCTCACGAAATAAGCTCTTTCATTTTCGCGAAATTAAGTATGCGCAAAAATTAATAAGAATAAGGTACGTTTTGTTTTTAAATACAAAAACCTTGAATAACTCAAGACTAGGTGCCCATGCCTGGTTCTCGGGCACGGGCACCAGTCTGAACATAGCTTTTTGTTGGTGCTCAAGCAAAAATCTGGGCACAGTGCCAGGGCATGGGCACTAATGCTAGGGGTATTACTCGGGCACCGTTCCCGGGCATGGGCACTTGCGGATAGGTGTTCGTCAGTTAATGCACTTTTCCCCCATGCTTCCCTGCGATCCAAGTGAACAAAATGGCAACAGAAGGCCGCAGGCCGCTATGCATCTACACATTTGAGAACAGTAAACAATAGCACATGAATTATACATTGCAAACAGTACATGGCAAATCGTAAACAAATATTTGGGCACCAAGCCTCATGCACAAGTGTGAATGTGCTGGCTCGGTCCAGGGCACTGGGGTGTCTGAACAACGTCCATTTTAGTGCCCAGGAACAGTAGGTACCCTGGAACGGGCACCTAGTCAGAACGGGGCCTAAGCTGCTACACAATATTACAGCCAAAATTTCAGACAAAGAAATACCTTTGCTGGACACAGTGGATGCTTTACGGTTTACCTAGTGCCACCATAGTTACTAACTATGGTGCCACCCACCAGGCCCCAGTTGTCCAAATGGTGGATAACAAACTACGCTATCCATTTGATAGTGATTTATCTCATGGATAGCGTTATCCATCCTTTTAACAACCAGGGCCCGGTTGTTCATATAAGATGGATAACTCTATCCACCGGATAAATCACTATCCAGTGGATAGCGTAGTAGGTTTTGTTAACACTTATCCACTGGATAGAGATTTATCCGGTGGATAGCGCTATCCACCAATTGAACAACCGGGCTCAGGCCTAGGTGTAAGAAGAGGTTTTACTAAAGCAGAAGCCACAGGCAGGGAAGGGGGATGCAAAAGTTGGGGTTGTAGTCCACTGCAGGTTACCCCCAGCATTCTGTCAGGGTACCATAACAGTTTGCCAGTATCAATTTACTCCTACAAGAGTAAAGTGTTTCTGAGTCAGAGCTTCATCCAAGTCCGCCCATGAAATGAGTTTGCTGAGCCCCTATAAACAATTATTGAACTTACTTTGTTGCTGAACCATTATCGCAATTGTATAGAACAGCATCCTGTCTTCACCAAGGTGTTGCGGGATGTACACATCTTGTATATATGCTCCATCCCCACGGTTGTACTAACAAGTTTCCCCATGGAAATGAAGGTCCCACTTGTGACAAATAATTATCTGGACTGCAATGTTCTTTCTAAATTCACATGCGATTAGATATTCTCAGCAGTGGAACCTCTTACAACTGTAACTCTTAAAGATTTTCCTAAAAGGGAAAGTAAAGTATAGCCTTGTCAGTTCCATGCATGCATCCTACTTTAATAGTTTAACAATACAAAAGTTACAAGTACTGAAGGAAAAACCCTGAACAGGAACTACTTCCCTAAATATAGGGCTACCCAGTCATAAATTATTGAAATAAATATATTATATATATTAAAATAAATAAAAAAAATTGTCCTAGGTAATAAGATTATGTTAGGAATCCTAATATGATCTTATTATGATCCTGACCTACATAAGATACTACTAACTAGTCCCGTTAAGTGGCCATGTTGCCAGCATGGTTGCCTCAATGGCGTAGTGGTCATCATGCCTGACTGGTAACCAGGGAGACGTGGGTTTGATTCCAGCTTGGGACAACATGTTATTCTTTATTATGGGACATGTGTCAAAAGTAATGTTTATACAGCTACTGTGGGTTCATTTTTGAAAGTTCCTTGATAGGATCCTAATAAGATCCTATTAACCCCTTGAATGCCGGATAGATTACAATCCAGCAACCAGCAGCCATCTTGAATTTTCACGCAAAATATCAATAGTCCTAATAAAGCGTTGAAACGAAGTTATAGAGTTCTGTACAATTTTTTTTCCAGGTAAAAACAAGTCAATAAAACGCCTTTACACCTCTACCTACTGCATGCAACAAGTGTACCCTCGCAACAATTATTTGAATCGTGTTGAACATTTCTCTTCACTTTCTTCAATGCTCTCCAACCTAATCTCTTCTTCTGCTTCCTCTAAACTGTTACAACTGTATTTTGGAAATGATGTTCTTGGAAAAAAAAAAAGGAAAATTCAGGGAGGTGGGGTCCTAAATGAAATATTGATATTTTCTGAAATTACACAATAACACCTATTATAAAGATCCTGATAGGATCCTAATAATGTCATCAGACCTGGCTCTTATCTGTCATAATTTTGGAGACCACGGTTAGCTTTATAAGCTTATACGCCCGGGTTGCACGAAGCACTGCATGTACGTTCGTGATCGGTTGCAAAGAGCCCGGGAAATGTAGCAACAATAATAATTTGTGCTTACCTCGCTAAATCAGTCAACTGATTACTCTCTCGGTACCATTTTATGACAAAATTGGTTGGCTGCAAATCACAAATGTCCGCCATCTTGAAATAAACGCGCATGAAAGCCTGGAAACCACACTGAAAAAATTGCTCCCCAGGGCCTTGCAGAAATGGTCCGCGAGGCGTACATTTGGATTGGATAAAACGCAGAAACTGCTAACATTCGCTTCTCTTTCCGCATGCACGATAGGAAATCGAGCGGTTGCGTGTAGAGGTTCCTCGTCGCGCGCGGAAAGAAAAGCGAATCTCTGTCTCTCAGGGTAGAAGACTACAGATTGAACTCTAACCCTAAAACCTAACCCTGCTAGGCTTCAGTCTGCAGTCTGCGTTTTCCCCCACCGTTCGACCGTTCGTTAAAAAAAAAACGTTATATAGACTCCTGATAGACTATAAATCCACAAAAAAAATGTTTCTTTTTTCCATTCAATCGATTGATTGGGTAAAGTTCTTGGTGATTTCATTGGCCATGGTCCAGCTCAGAGTACGTGAACGAACGACTTGGTGGATTATAAAATGTAATAATCTATATTTATTATGAAAAACAGCACACTTTATTATTACATCGTTAGTTAGTATCAACAGCAGGGTCTGTCTTTGAGTCTTTCGAAGTTCCTTAGTCCCTCGGCTTAACTAATTGCATTACGGTTCATGTCCAGTTATTAACGCGGGGCTCGAACATTTTCGGAGGGCCACTATACTTTAGAAATACTTCTTTTACTTTTGGAAGCTTATGGTACATCACTTGTTTATTTTTTTTTTTTTTTTTAAGGCTACTTATCTACTAGCGTGCACTGAGCAACCTCATTTAAAAAAAAAACACGGGCCACTTACTGTATCTACAGAAAAGGATGAAATTCTTTAATTTGCTTTTGAACTAATTTTTAACTCTAACCCATTCCAGCCAACTCTGTTTCTGTGAAAATCTGTGGACTTTTTCAAGATCCTGGAGGACCTGGAGTAGCGTGGTACAGCGGAACCCCGTTAATACGGACACCTACGGGCCAAAAAAAGCTGGCCGTAATAACGGGGTGGCCGTATTACGGGGTTCTTTAAATAAGAAAATGACTGACTGAGCTTTTGTTTGGGCCAAAATAAAGTGGCCGTAATAACGGGGTGGCCGTAAGGCGGGTTCCACTGTATACATGTATACTTGCGTTCCTTGGAAATTGAATAAATAAATATAATTTTTTGTCTTAACTTAATGTTGTATAAACCATCTTTTGCACGACGCCGATAAATCCAGCTGTCTGTTATCATTTCATTTAGTGTTTCGTAGATGCATGATCACAAACGATCACAAGCTGAACCAAACTAGCTGCTGTGAAAGGAGCCGGCGGTTAATCTCTTCCAGCGCATGCGCAAGACGGCTAGCATTCTTTTCTGGCTTGGTTCTTGTTGCCATTACTTCATCAGTTGCGAAGAATCGATGCGATTTTTTCTTGTTGTCTTGTTGAGCCTTTGATTCCTTCTCCGGCTTCTTTACTTGTGCTTTCTGTTGTAAGGGGGTGTTTGTCTTTCTTTTTGATGACATAATACTCATGATCTGTTAAATAAAGCGAATTAAAGCTCAGTAAGTTGGGCCGTGCCCCATTATATTTAAAAAATCTATTCATAGTTCAGTTCGCGTCATGCTGTGAAAGTTCAGTTCAGTTCAGTTTATTATCCTGATGAACTCCACTGATACGAACGCAACAACCAAAATTCAAAAGTAAAATGTTAGGGAGCCATTATATAAAATACGAGACCTTTCCTCGCTCGGTCCGTACATAAATAACTCGTGCGAAATTTTCCCAGCACCGCCTTCGCGCTCGGTTAAAAAGAAGCAAATAATTGGGGTAAAACGCGAGTAATTTCATTGATTACCTTCCTTTGGTCCAATTGTTTAACAATGATTGCTGGTCTCGTTTCCTTCATGTCATATCTTGACTTTCGTTCCCTCCTTCTCTTTGCCATAGTCAGCCGCGTGTATAAATTTGCCCGATATTCTGTAAGTATTAAGGAAACTGTATTCACCACAAAGTTGCAGTTCAACTCATCTTTACTACACCGGGTATGAAAAGCTAAAATTAACAAAACGTACAACATTGAGGGAAACAACCAAACTTGTGGGAAACAGATACAAATGCAATCGCCATACGCAAATTTTCTTACCAGAGAAACGCCTTCCACCAATGCTTCGTTTTTCAATAAAGACATGACCGCAAACACAAGAGCTGCTTGAGCCTAAAATCTGTAAACCGATAGATATAAAAAATAAGTAACGATCGCCTAAATGGGTGGGTTGCAAAATGAGTTCAATATATAGCTAAAAATTACGTTATACCCCCTCCCATAACTGACGCAAATAATGTCCTACCCCCCTCCTTTCACAAACCTGAGACATCACACGCACGGACACTTTGCTAGTCCAACATACACATTCTCATACAATCTCTCGCTACAATCAGTTAATTTTAAGCTATTGTACGCTGTGTCTGTCATAACGCTCCCTTCTTTCAAAACTGACACAGAGTTCAGTCAGTTTGGTTGGAGAGAAAGCTGAACGCTTCTGTACAAACATAAATTACCGACTGTTTAACCACAAATGCCTTCTAAAGTATATAATGGGAAATATGTCCGTACTCAAGAAAGGATAATCTAAGAGAACCATTCTCCCATACATGGGTCTTTTCAAGTGATAATTTTTTTGAATCTACAGTCAACTCTCTCTAAGACAGACATCATCGGGATCGTCACCAACTTTCCGTCTTAGAGAGGTGTCCGGCATATAGAGAGTTTAGATACAGTAAAATGACTGAAAAATGGCGCCCAGGGACCAACACCAAGTGTCCGTCTTAGAGAGGTGTCCGTCCGTCTTATAGAGGTGTCCGTTAAGAGAGAGTTGACTGTATTTATAATTTTCATTCCATAGCTGAGTTTTGTTAAGAGAGCTACTTGATTGATCGGTTCGATTGAAGTCATGTCAGAGCTTCAGTCAGAAGGAAATAAATAAAAATAACTTTCACAGAATGGCACAAAAACTATTAAATATATATTTCAATAAATTATCATGGGGCACGGGGAATCCTTCTCTTAGACATCATCTCTTGGTTGAAAGAAAGAATGTAAGCATTGTAAGCAACGGACTCTTGCCTGTTCTTAAAGACGAGTAAACGGACACACCTTTAATAAGGACACTTTCTAGGGTCCCCTCGATGTTCGTATTACAGTCAACTATGTTATAGCGGACACCCTCGGAACGTAGTTTAATTTGGAGTCCGTAATAGCGAGAGTCCGTATTAGCAGGAGTCATTTTCAGTCAATCCTCTATAGCTTTCGCCGGGTGGAGGGCTGGATTTTGTCCGTAATAGCGGGTGTCCGTAATAACTGGGGGTCCGCAATTTGAGAGTTGACTGTAACTGGGTTCGACTGTAAAATGTCAAAGGAATCATCCATCATCGGAACAAGTTACCGTTAAACTGATGGAAAAATAATCTGAACCTAAAATTTGTTGAAGACCATGCAAGGAAAAAATTGCTACAGATTTCGATTTGCCATTTGGCCGTTTCGAATTATCCGCGCGCCGCCATCTTGCAATTTATGTCATGGTTGCCCCTAGCCCCTTTTGATGTACAACAAAAGAGCTATTGTTTTCTGACAATAGTGGCAACCACAATACGTCAGACAAAATGGCGGTGAAAATTTAACCCCCAAAATGGCTAATATCTGTATCCAATTTTTTTCGTACACTTGAACGTTTTTCCGATTTATTTCAACAAATGTTCAGTTTAGACAATATTTCCAACATGTTCATATGTTTATTCACATGTTTATTTCCGGTATGTTCATAATGTATCGGCTACAATTCTTGCACATTCAGTCCCCTTCTAACAATGTCAGTTCTCATTTTATCCATGACCCAGTTCTAGTCATAACACCCGTATATGAAACCCTTTGCTTGTGACCCCAACCCGAAACTCTCATTTGAGGCGCAGGACAAGACGTTCTGTTCACTTTGCTTGTCATCTCAGATTGTTTCAGAACTCACGCTTGCTTCATTTCATCTGGTCTAGCTCTAAAAACTGGCCGGAATCTTGCTTGATATTCCTTCGCGCATTTTTTTAAATTGTTTACAGTGCGACTACTGTAACCGGGGCCACCTAGGCAATGAAAACTAATCACACTGATTGTAGAGCGGAATAGAGTTTATCAACTTAATTCCATGTTGAAATGTTGTATTGAACTCAAAACGTATTGACTCAAACAACTGAAGCTGAAATTCTTCGTTTCCATTCTGTAA